TGATCAGAATTAGAAATTAAGAGTCGATATAACTGATCTGAACTAGAACTGGTTTTTCGAATGATATTCTTGATACAAATTCGTGCCTACCTTGACCTTTTAGTTTATCATTTCAGAACAGAAGCAAAACGTTTGAAGAACGAATTGCCGCCGGTGGGAAATATTGTCGGCGGTAATACGATTCTCACGGTTTCTGCCGCCCGCCGTCATTTTCCCTCTTGTTTTCGCGAAACTTTTCTCGAGGGACGTAAATTGATTTGTCGGCGTAAGAACTCTATGTCCGACAGCGCCTTTACTACGAGATAAACGTCAACGTTGCCGCGCAGGAACCATGTCGTTTATACTTCGTGACTTCCTCCACGTGATCGCGCGGTTGGCGCGCCTTCCTTCCTCGCGTTTCCGTTTCCTTGTGGAACTCGCGTTTGTACTTCTCCATTGCTGGAAAAATCTCTGGACGTGTTACTGCTGGTAATAAAATTCTCCCGGACATACGAAGGAGCGTATTACTCGACCTTTTCCCTTATGTTCGGTCGTCCGACTTTTCGATCCTACTTCGATTCGTCTGAATTTTCTCGTAAAGATCGCCAAGTAGATACATAGTATACTTCGTTTGTAAGACTTCTCTTCGTCATTGTCATCGTTAGTAAGAACACGTAATGCGAATAAAATTGTGACAAACGTTACAAGAGTGTCTCTACACTTTTCAACATTTAACTAGCGAAGAAAAATATAATTTGAAACTCACACGTTGAGTTAAAGTTAGTTATTGAGAGGAAGTACAAAGTTTAAAAGTATATTTAATTCCTAATAATATATTTGCTATAGAGTCCAACGAGAATTTATTCTAAAATATTACCGTGTGCGCTGAAACATATTAATCCATTTCTATTTCTAGTTAACAAATTAGTTTTAAAGAATCGCGCACTGTACGACATATTACTCGTATAAAGTTGGAAAGTAACGTGTTACTTATAACGCCGTTACCGTTCGTTACGCCGGTAACGATTGTTTCTTTTCTCTGTAACGATAATGGTAACGTCGTTATATTTTTACAGTAACGGTAAGTTCAGCCTTATCGTTATTTTAATCCCTTCTTATTTTTATAACTATTCAATTATAGATCGCATTATTTTTAATTGGTTAGAAATATCTTATGAGAGAAATTTAAATATCGGAAAATGTTTTGTACTTTATATTTTAGGCTGCTTTCTGGTAGTTACTGTCGATATTGAAAATCTATAGTATATAAATAATGTAAACTATAAATATTTAGTGATGAATACACTCTTAATTGCTATATTAATGTTTAAAAACGATGTTTCATAAAAATTTTTAATAGACTCTGCGTTTATAAATTAGAATCTAATTTCTTAAAGTATATATATTAAAAAATAAAAATATTAATATAAGAAATTATCGAAGAGATTTATTAGATACGAGTTTAATGAAAGTTTGCTATAAGATTAATTAAAAATTTAATGTTTTAATATCAATTTTTACAATTAATATTAATTATTAAATAATGTTTTTTTTAATTATAAATAATTAATTTTTGAATAATATATAATATCTTACGTTAACATTTCATTAAAAAAGTAACGAATCCTCACTTTCTAAAAGTAACTGTAACGGTAACGGGTTACTTTTTAAAGAAACTAACGAGTAATAGTAACAAGTTACTTTTTAGAAAAAATTAGTAACCGTAATAGTAACGCATAATTTTTATAAAGTTCCCAACTCTAATTATACATAATTAAGGAAACGTAAGGCGTTATTACATAAAACTCGCGATATAATTTTCTAGACAAGTTTTCATTTACATCGTCCTACTTATCACTCTCTTAAATTTATAGCGTCTTTAACACTTTCACTATCTTTGAAGGTGTTTGGTAGATCTTCGAAAGAGACATTGCTTACTTACTTCCTCACGGTTGCGAAGTTTTATCGCACCCACGAAAGGTATTTCCTGAAAAGTTTTCGGATACCGCGGATTTCTCCCGCATCTGGGTACCACAGCACGATGCCTTTCTATCGGTAACGGCGTTTATCTTTCTCACCGTTTCTCTACAACGTACATTTTTCTTTCATCCGATCCAATATAATTCTACGATCGCTCGTGTTAGGTATTTCAGGATAAGCCTTTTGATAATTTATCGACAAATAGACGATTGCTGCAACAATGAATCAGCGCACGTACACATATCGCATGTCCCATTTTCTACGTAACTATTTTTAAAATTACTAGTTAGTTGAAAAGAAAAATTTTTTTATATTAAAATCTCACTCTATTAGAAGAGCATTTTATGATACGTGTAATTTTGCTTTAAGTGAATCCATTTTAATCGTTTTTTTGAAATATTTATTGTATAATAATTATTAGGATTTAAAATAAAATTAGGTCGAAAAACTAAAATTAGAATTGGATATATATATATTGGATATAAATAATCATGAAAAGACCATAATAATAATTTTAGATCTTTCTAACAAATAAGTTCTAATTTCTTAATAGTTCAAATTTCTTAATAGGAAAATTTTATTTTTGTATTCAGTCCGTAAACAAGATTATTCTAGTCGAGTTTTAGTCAATCCATTTTTGGATTATTTTATTAATTTTATTGGGTCACGTTATTAAAAATATAATATGAAAACTGTTACAATTTATGCAATTATTGAGTAAGTAAATCTGTCTCAGGAAAATCTGATTCGTTAGTTTGAACATCAGTTTGAAAGCTTTTAGTCCTGTTACGAAACTGGGAAGTTGTCATAGTGAACATATCTGTAGTGTATTTTCCATAAACTCGAATAGCAAAGAAGTGTTCCAATTTTCCGCTTCGTGAACATCCAAAGACTCGCTTCTCTTATATAAAATATATATATATATATACACATGCCGTTATAAATGGAATAAGCACGTATATTTGCTCGCTCGTTTAAGTGCGCATATATATTTCTTTATATACGATCCAAGTGCCAGCCGGATCGTTCCATATAAAATTGAATTTCCATATTTGCCTTTTAGATAGATGGACAAAATTGCATTTTAAAATTTGGAACAGCTCACTTTCTTGAGCTGTAATTGAATTAAATTATTGTACTATAATTACGTAATAGATTGATTGTATCCATCTAAAACTAAGGGAAAAAGAATATTTGCAATTCATTTAAAAATAAAAAGCGGATTTTTTTCTTCATATTTACACATCGATATTGTTCCAATATCGAATTCACTAGTTTTACTTTATTCGCTGCAAGCTTCATTTTTACTCTTTTTATCTTATTTTTTTTATTTGAAGATTTTTGCATTTGAAAATCAACGAGAAAAAAGAATAATTCCATTTGCGCTTTGTCATTTTTACTCACGTAAGAGCTTGACATAATACAGAGTTTTTTTCGACAATTGATATAATTGCATCTTGCCAGCACGTTATAAAGAATTTTGTTCAAAATATCAATGTCAATTTTATATTAGTGCTTTGAATTACATTAAAAATTACATATTAATATTTAATTAAATTACATTAAAAAATTATTCTTAGAGAGATTGGTATTTCTTACAATTAGATATACAACTTGTAAAAGATTCGAACCAGTTAATTTACCATTAATTTTTTTTCAACTGGCGCATAAGTTTGAACAGAGTATAATAGATGATCATTTTAATACAATAAAAAGCGAACAAGCGTTGGAGTCTTTTAAAGTCGCAGATCGTAAGTCTGCAAAAAGAAAATAACTCCGTAATCATGCGCGATCTGCGACCGCCATTTGTAACAACGTAACTACTCCGGCACGATTCACTGCTCTAAAAACGAAATGACTCGTAAAGTCGATGTCCCGCCGCTCCGCCTTACAGTAATGACACGAATTATTATACCTTGACTAAACGCTGTCAAATAGCTCGGAAGAATCGCAAAGTCTGTTAGGTCCATCTTTCCCCACTTCGCTCTTGATAGACATATCTTAAAATATATCTTCTTTTCTTTTCATATAATGAGTTTATCTTCATTTGCGATATTTTCAAACTTTTATAATTTTATTCCAGTAATAGTCCGCAATGGCAGATCCGCCGTTAAAAATAAATTGCATGCACCGTGCAAATCAGATGCAATATGCATCTTTCACCATTTTTTCCGATATATTTGACATATTTGAGATGTTTCTTTCTTTCTTTTCATTTTTAATAATCTTTATTTATTAAATTTTGAAACTTTTGATATTTCTCTTTAATAATTGATAACGGAAAATTTAATTTCTAAATAAATTGTTGCATAAATTATATAAATGTAATAAATATTTCTCATCGCTTAAGTGTAACTCATATAACACACAGCTCTTTTACTTAATTTATTTTTAATCCTTAAATCATATTACTGGAAGAACACTACGGAATGACATTCCAACTCAATTTGATTGCTTATATAACTTTCATAAAAATGAACATACTGTAAAAAAAATTTTTAATTAAAATACCAGATATTAAAGAATATAATTATATCAAGCAAATGTACGTATTTTTAGTAACAAAGAAGTTATAAGCAATGGAAGAAGTACTGGAAAATCATGGAAAAAGAAAACCATCAGGTATGCCATACCGAGAAGACGTTTAATATATAATTTATCTTCATTCGAATTATTTTTAAATTGACATTTCCGACTCTCCATAACAATTTACAATTAAAACTTCGGCACGCTTATAGAAATAGCTCTGCACAGTCAAATATGATAAGTGAAAAAGGCAAAGATTTTTAATAAGACACATCAAGTCCTTATTATAGAGAAAATGACGTTATTTGTCGTCATATTGACGTCAAAATGACATCACATTGATGTCAAAAATGACATCTATACATTTGGATATGAAAGTGATAAATAACGTTTGCTATCTAGGTCGAATGGGGTGTTTAAATAGATTAATGTAATTTTCATTTAAGTAACATCCGTTAATTCTTCAATCATTCCTTACGATTTGTCGTAAAACGAGGTTGCACTTTCTGTTTCAGAAATCTCGCTCGAATGATCAGATAGTGACGCTGCAGGACGCAAACCTTCATGCCACCGGCATGTACAAGTGCGAAGTTAACGGGGAGGGGCCGAGCTTTAATACAGTCAGTGCCGAGGCGAGAATGGAGGTCATAGGTGAGTGGGCCGGTGTCGCGTTTAATTAATAATGCTTTTGAACGCGACCGCGTCGTCGTCTATCCTTTGGTAACTCGATTAAAGACTACGACGTGGTCGAGTTCGGCAATAGTATGCTGAAAGCGAGAGAGAAAGAGAGAACCGTATCTCGTGATGAAGGAAACTAGGAGTCGATACTCTTGCAACTATCTTTCGTGACGTTCCATCATCCTTGACGGTGGAACGAGCCCGCCATTCTAACTGTGAATTGGCTACCGCGTTTACACGTTCATCTGGCTACGATGGACCGATTAGTTCGCGAAATTAACGGCAACTCACCACCAAAGTGCTGGCGATATCAGATTACAGAGCCGTGTAAGTTTGCAAGTGTTACTGAGATTCGGGTATTATTCGCAAGACAATCTAGCAGTCGGAGAATGTGGTAATTACCGAATGTCAAGTTCGCCTTATTGAAATAGCTGTACACTAATGAGATTTTAAACGAATGATAGATATAATATAAAAGACCATCGATAACTTTGACAGAGAAAAACGTGAATTGAAAGTAATCGAGAGGTAATCGAGAATATAATTAAAAACAATTGAAAAAGATTGAATATTGCAATTTAATATGTTTTAATTCGGATTAATATTTAGGATAAGAAATTTTTTTAATATAAATTATAATGGAAAATAGTTATATTTTTCCAAATTGCCGTGCAATGTAAATTTTATATCCATCTCTAGAAATGCAAATTCCACACTTATTATACAAACATGCAATGTTATTATTGAAGTTATTTAAAAAAATTATCATTTTAATGAATGAAATAATAGCGAAGAATATCAAATTATAAAATTGCACATGTTATATAATTATACCTTTCCTTTAATTTGACCGTTATATTGGCGTAGGGGTATTTCAGATTTCTCGTTACCTTCTAACGGATAAAAAAACAGCCATATAATCGCTTCATTGATTAGATGGACAAACAGATAATCGTTTGCTCCACTGACCAGTTCAAGCGGGTAAACGAATAACAGTTTGATTGATTAATCGTTCAGCTCTTTATTTGATTGCGCCATCGAACGCACGTACATACGCGTCCGTGCGGAGTTACAAATTCATCAATAATCTGCACTGAAAACGTCATCTGCCCTCTTTTTTTGCTTGTCTGTTATTCATTTGTTATTTGATCTCTGTGTATTCTGCGATTTCTGAATGCGAGCGCTTTTACCGGCTACATGATACAGCGGCGAAATACAGCATCGATATGTGTAATACTGCAAACGACAGATTTATCTCGTGACAAAGCAAAAGTATGAAATAGTAAACGCGACACTGGACACGCGCGATTCTGGCATATTACGCTAATTTCTTTTTTCCAAGATCGCACTTTCGAATGTTAATCGTAACACGTGACTCCCACGTGACGTTTCGGATATTGACCGATCAATCCATGGTGGATACGCAATCGGTACGGCTATGCGCGTAGGTGCGTATGCTGTTCTTACGAGGATCAAAGGAAGCGTATCTAATTATCTCAAGCACACGTTAGATGCGGTATCCGTTGCAATAGGATTATCATACGGTCAAAGTGGGCGATACATGGTACATAGTGGCTCCGAGTTGGATATTAACTCACCTCAGCGTGGGCGGTACGAACAAGAGAAGGTAGACACGATTACGAAGGACTCGCCCCGCTATTGGTAGACGTAATCGTCTTATAATTATTTCGCCACAATACACTGTCTACCTTTCACGTAAATGAATATAATTCGTGAACGGCAAAGTGTGGGTTGCGGTGAACGGATTTTAGAATTATTGCAGAAAGAAAATACTGACGAGAGATGTAAATAACAATATGTACATTAAGCGCATTTATTCTTCAGTTAATTCTTCAAACGGTTATCCGCTCGCGCGGAAGTTACGTTGCACGTAACAAAAATAATTTCGCGTATGTCGTTAACAATTCAATAAAGGAGATACATTTAAAAACGGACGTGTAATTCGCTGGCTGAAATGTAATTAATAGAATTTAATAATTTTATATTTTGTTTTGTCAGTACCGAAAAATATAAAGCACGCAATAAGAGCCTACGGGTCGCGAAAACAATTTTGATTGAAAAAATAATTACTTTTTATGCGATATAAATAACAGTTTTACCGTGCGCTCTCAAAAATTTTCTCATACAATCGCGTTATACATAGAAATATACACATTCATACGTTTAATTGCGAGATATATATTATCAAATGTGTTTGGAGTAGCTTATATATTTCGAAAAAAAGTTTATCATCTTTATTTACTAATAGTAAAACTTTAACGCAAATAAGAGAAATCTTACATTTGATTAGAGTCGATCTTGGTGATTAATAATATGTAAAATTTTTCAAATTTACTCTCTAAATCTGAATCAGTGAATAGTCACTAATTACCCAGTGACATACTTGGCAGTAGAGTTCAACTAAAAAAGGAAGAATGTTTGAGCATTATATAAAATATTAATATTTGCATGTTAATTTCAATCTTCCAATATCATATTCATTGAATTTAAACACAAAATAAGGTTAGTTAGATCATATAATAAAGATTAGCTAGGTCAGGAATCTCATATTTAATTCACTGATTATCAGTGGCATATCTTGGCACTGATGTCAGTGATTATCCACTGATTCAGATTTAGAGAGTATTTTTTAATTCTAACTGCGCGCTGATTCCATTTGTCGGAATTGAAACGCAATCTTAAACTGAATCTGAAATAATATCATAAATTAAATTAACTGTCAGATTAATATTAATATAATAAGCAACTTAAAAATTAAAGGGTACTCCAAACTTTTAAGAGGCAGTGTATATTATTCAAAGCATCAAATAAATGATGCAAAATCGCGTGACGATTGGTTTTTTTTTAGAGGAAATTAAGAAATGTAGAATTAATTACTTATTTTGACTATCAAAAATACTGAACTTTTTAAATTCTTTAGAATAGAATCTCACTCTAAAGAATAAAATCTCACTCTTAAAGACTGAAAATTCTGTCACTCTTTTCAAGACTAGCAGAATTTTCTTTAGAGTGAGATTTCATTCCGAAGAATTTAAAGACAACAAGAGCGCTTTTACTTATTTTGAATATTAAAAGCACTGTTATTTACTGCTATTGATACTCAAAATAATAAATTTTTAATATTATATTAATCAGTATTAAATTGGATTTCTATAAGGGTCGTTAACGCGAGAAAGTTAATCGCACGGGAGTCAGTATCACGCGCTTTCCGACATCGTTGAGACGTGAAACGTGCCAACTTGCAGAATTCCGAAAGAAAAAGACGCCGTTATTTCTCGTCGTGTCGCGTCATTCGGTCGACTTGAGAGAGAGAGAAAAAGGAAGGCAACGGACGTGCGTTTTCGCCCGCGTTCCCACGAAGAGCACAGAATTCATCCGAGTTGCGCGTGAAGCGTGGACGTTAAAGTTTAAGTGTACATAAAGCCGTCGAAACGCGATAAATATTACGGCATCGTAAGTCGTAAGCCGTAACTAGGCACCGTCGAGGCCGCCATGGGCTACACCAAAGAAGACAGAAAAAGAGAAAGAGACTCAGGTTGTTCCGCGTGCCAGCGCGAGCAAGACACTCGTTGAGGATGGAAGAAGGGTGGTAGGATAGATGGGGGGAATTTTAAGATCGTTGTAGAAGCCTCGAGGAGGCTGTCGTCGTGCCAAGTTTCGCCGGCCTGTCGGCTTTTCGTTTCTCACTGCATCTTTGCGACGAAATTTCCTCCCTCGCGCTAGCTCGTGGAAAGATCGATAACCCGCGTCGTTCGCCTTGCGGCCTTTCATTCGCGATTGCAGTGAATTTTGAGCTGCGAACCATCACGAAAAATTCAATGTAATCGGACATAGAGATGCAGTAGTAAAGTATCTGATTTTCTTTTAAACATGCATAAACGTAAGATGAAATCACAGACACACAGCTGGATTTTGTATCGGAGATAATCTAGCTTTCTGTGCTGTCGGACGTAGCTATTCTTTTTTTCGTTTGCATAAAAATAGATATCTGATTGCATTTTCATAGCTGATTACATCTCACTTTCTCCTAACGGTCGAAATCTTGCACTCTTTTTTTCTTTTTTTTTCCATCTCATCTCTTCTCACTGATGTGCAAGTTCGATCGCGTTCCCGATGTCGAGCGAGTGCGTTTCAACGGGAGTAAGCGAGCGTGAATTATTCGAATTTATTTCGTCGCCATGCTGTCGGCAAGACGATAACTTTATTGCCAAATATTAAAACATGCTAAGAGTTAATTGCATGGGAACTTGCTGTTTGCTCGATCAATATCTGCGTCCGCTATATATTTGTCATATCAATATTAATTATCCATTTTTGCAAGAACAACTTTTTTCGACGGCATCCAAAATTCCAATTATAAATTTCAATTACATTTTTTGCTTTTCATAATAATATCATTTGTTTGTCTTTTTTGTCCATCAACTCGATAAATTTATAAAAAATTCAAAAAAATTTTCATATATTCTTTATAAAATGTTTTTCGCAAACATTTTATTTGAACTGATTACAATGTAACATACTCATACATACTGAAATAATTGAATAGTAATTTTAATTCATTTAAAATTATTCAACTGAAAATAAAAACACATTACCCGCATTTGTTAGTTGGAAACGTTATTAACGCAGCTTCCGGCGGAAACACGTCAGTTAGGTAGGATCGAGAAGATGGTTATTGTAAGACCTGGAATGGCTTCGTTGAATATTCCGAACGGAGTGTCGCGGTGGCTTTAGAAGCTTATCTAGAAGATGCACTTTTATCGGGATGGTATCTTCGAGAGTGATTTTGATAAAAATTATCCGGTCGTCTTACATTAACCCACAATGGAGTCGATTTAATTATAATGGAGAAAACGACCATGGAAATCAAGTTTTAATGCAGCCAAGAAATTTTATTCTGTTCCTTTTATATATATATAATGATATAAAAACAGATCATTTTTTTAAAATTGATATTAAATTTAAAATGCATTACATTACCAAAAACGACTAAGTAATGTAATCACAAGCATAATTGATATGTACCTATTCATGGATATATATATACACACACACACACACATATATATATATATATATATACACAATAAAAAAGAAAATGTTAATTTAAAATTTTTTACATGTCCCAGGAGATCCACTCTAAATTTTAAGTTAAAGTAACTCATTCATCTTGTGTTGATTTAAAATTAACATATAAAATAAGTAGAGTACATAGAAGAGTAGTTGCAGTAACTCGTAAGAAAATGTTAATAAAACATTTTTGTTCATATAATGTAAATAAAAAAATTCTTAGATATTAAATTAACTTTGAGATATATAGATTAATTCAAACAATTGTGTTAAAAACACTCAAAATAATATTCCATTTTTAATCGACATACACAATTGTTAAGTTAGAAAGGTGACATGAATCTAACACATCAAAATGTTACAAAAATAATAACATATCAGCTGTATGTTTATTTTACATTGAAGTAATAATCAAAATGTGATAACACAAGAAAAATTCTATATATGGACGCACGATTTTTTACTGTGTATAATTTATTTAAATAATACTCGTCTAAGGAGATTAATGGAAACATTCTTAATTCAGGTAGAAATTTTACAGAAATTATTTCTGCAATGCTGTAGAAATCTTATTTTACGTATTTTTCGCATATAGTTTAGCAAAAAAAGATTAAATTCGAAAATACGATACCGCACATCAAAATCTTTTTAATTTTAAATTTGTTACAAAAAACATGTAGCCATGTAAAAAAGTCATAAAATTATTTTAATTTAAAAAAAGCAAAGTTAAAAATAAAAATCAAGCTTTAACGTCAGTTTGTAAATAAAAGAGAGGATCTATTTTCTATCCAGAGAGTACTCTGTCTGGCAGAAAATATACGCATCAAACAAACGCGCGTTCGGCTTCGGCTATCGTCGTAAATTTCGCGAGTGTTTCCCAAACGAGCACACCTAATCCCCGATGCATTCTTGTGGAGCTCACTTTCCTGGCTTCGACTATTAATCGTGTCTACGCGACAGCGTATTGTACGGCCGCTTCATTATGAAGAACATTAACGCGAGCGGCACGTATACGCCAAAATTTAAAATGCACGAGATCTAAAGCTCGGTTAATAAACGCGTTTAGTGGCAGTAAAACTTCTTGCTAATGGCGCGCCCGACTTTATATGCCTTACCATGCAAAGTTCCCAAAGAGAAAAGCTGTTTTTTATGCCGCCGAAACAATGTCGGGTTTAGTATTAGATGTCCTGGGCGAATAAGGCCGAGATAAGCGACCGCATTCTGAAAATTGTCTCTTCGTGCTCTTTCTCTCTTTCTTTTCCCAGATGTTAAGAAGGTAATTTCTTTTGAATAGTATTTGCAAATTTTATTTCTACGGAGATTATTTTATACACCTCTACTCCAATTTAGAATTACAGAAAAAATTGTGCGCGCGTATTTCTTTTCTTTTTACATACAGAATGTCCCACAACTACCGCATTTCCTCTTAAAAACGTATTCTTGAGATAATTTTGAGATGAAAATCTTAATACAAAAATGTCGAGACTACAATAATTTTTTTAATTATAAGCTAACTTTAAGTGCTTTATAAAAAAAACCATTTTACTTTTATAGTCTCTATTATTATTTGGATTCTTTCGAACATTCTAAAACGGAAGTCCTAATACGAAAATATCGAAGCTATAATAGTTTTTGAATTACAAACTATCCTTAACCAATTATAATTCAAAAACTATTGTAGCCTCGATATTTTTGTATTAGGATTTTCGTCTCGAAATTACCTCAAGAATAAATTCTTAAGAGGAAATGCGGCAGTTATGGAACACCCTGTATATACTATTATATTTACAATAAGATTATACAATATACAATATGTACTTATTTTCTGTCATCTTAGAAATAAAACAGTAGCTTTAAGACGAGCTAAAATAAACGGCGTCATGTCGTATAATTAACGCACACGTACCGCGGGTACATGTAACAATTTTCTCAAATTGTTTCGCAGCACTACCTCAAGAAAGGCCAACGATAACCGGAGAGGAAAAGGTGTACGCCAGCGGAGACGTGCTCGCGCTGAATTGCACCAGCGGCAAGTCCCATCCTGCCGCAAAACTCAGATGGTTCGTTAATGGCCAGCAGGTGAGTGCAATAGTTTTCCAACGTTTATATTTCTCGCAGCATCGGGGAAAAATGTTGCACAAGATAGAAATGTCATTTGCGCGTTGAACTTTCAATCATTTCGGTCAAAGATAATATAGATAAACAAGCTAGATATACGCTAAGAAAAAGATAAAATACTCGATGTTATGTATTATTTCCAATGTGATATCTTTGTCGAATGGAAGCGTTTACAGCGTGTATCCGCTGTCACATGGATGACCAAACTTGCACAAAATCTATAGGATACATGTATGTATAACGGTGAAGCTTGGAATAGCACGTGGATAACACTGGCGGGCAGAAGCGGTCACGCGTTGGGGTTGGACGGGATTGCATTGGTGCTGGTGAGGGGATGGAAAATGTGTGAGAGAGAGAGAGAGAGAGAGAGAGAGAGAGAGAGGGAGGGAGAGGGAGAGAACGAGCGAATGACAAGCTGGTTCCACGGTAAGCCGACTGAGAGTTCGACCGTCGCGGCGATGTGGCTCGATTTCATCGCGTAAGCAACGGCGACGCTTGATGAGCCAAAGCTCCAATTAACGACCGGCGAAACGGATCCCTCGTATAGCTGCACCGGCCATCACTGTGCGCCGATATTCCAGTACTTGGAAACCTTGTAATGCGCCATCAGTGTTGCGCCGTAGTTTTGCCCACCTATAATATTATTCTCCTGCCGTTAGTTTCGAACTCCCCGTTTGTAACCCTGTGGAGATAATCGTGAAAATCAGACAAAAGGAGAGTCGAAAGCACGCATTCAGAAAGAGACGAGACCGAGAAAAAAGCCATGGCTCTTTAATTAATCCGCGACGCGCAATAGAGAAGGGTCAATTTGCGTTTGCGATGGAGGAAGTTACCGGGAGAAAAATGAAGGGTTTGCGCGAGTCTCCGCTTAATTATTATATCTCCCTTTGTCAGGCGATGATCTAAGATAAATCCGGAAACGGATTTTATTCTTCTCTCAGTCGTTCGTTTTTCACTAATGTTTTTGAATCTAACACTCGCTTGTCGTACGTCGTGTCTGTTTTTCACGCGGCAAGAACGGACACGCGATAAATCGACGTAAAGATGCGCGCATGTCTGTGTGTGAATGAGAGCGGGAGAGAGAGAGAGAGAGAAATAATGAGAAAGAGAGAGAGAGACAGAGAGAAAGTTCTATTCGGCGGGCGGGATTCTTATTTCTCTCGTTTTACGTTATTATTACAAAGTTTCCTTTCTCTCGCCACGTCACGAATAATTCAATCCTTCTATCGCTCGAGGCCGCCGGAGCTTCTATCGCATGCATATTGATGTATCGTTATCGGCGTTGTCGGGTGAAGAAAACCCGGACGTACTTCTTGGCTCTAAGCGAGAATAGGGAAGAAGTTCGATAAAATCGTTGAAGATAAATGGCGAGAATATCTCCCGCTTTTTTTTTTTTTTTTTTTACCGCGGCATATACTCATATAATTATTTTTGTCTACCCTATTAATGAGAATAACAGAAATAGTTAGACATACTATCTGGAAATAATATATAAGGATTAAGCTATAAAGAGAACACAGATTAACCCGACAATTAAATTTTTTTACACTCCAGCGGCGAAAAAATGTGAATTGTGAAATATTTTGTATAGATATGTTTAACATATTTTTTTAATAACTATTCTCTACAAACCTTTAAATGTGCGATTCCATCAACAATCCGCAAAAAAACATTATGTTAATTAAAACTTTTACTTTTTAGAATTATCATATTAAGCTAATTAACATATTTATTTCATTTAACATTTGTCTGGATTCTACTTAATTTTTTCAAAAAATTATAATTAAATTAACATCCATAATACATTCTCAAATATGAAATATTAAATCGGAAAACAATTAATAATTTACAATAAGCTGTTAATATAATTTTAATTGGGGTGCATCCCAAATAATCGTTTACATAAAAAAATGAGGTGACTACATCCAAGTTAATCTTATCATAGAAAGATTATAACTTGAGCATACACGGAGAGAATTTTTTTCTTAGAGTTTACTTCGAAAATATGATAGTCCTGGGATAACATTGTATTTCGAAGAATTTTATGTAAATTTTTCTCATTTATTAATAAAACTACAATAAAATATATAATAAGTTTGATTAATTTTACTGAAGTGCATAATAAAAATCTTTAAAATATTGTACCACAACTATCATATTTTCAGGATAAATTTTAAGAGACAATTCTGTCCGTTAGTGAAAAAAGAAAATGCTGACAGTTTTCGCCATTTGTATTCTTATTGTTACATTAACTTAAGTATACAGTGATAACTTAAGTATACAGTGAAGCAAGTATTGTGTTATAACTGACAATGAGTGTTTCTCTCAGGAGGATCGTAACAACTACCGAAAACATGGAATTACGGCGTCTTGACTATTCAATTTGCGAAACTTGAAACGGGCCGTCTTTTTCACCGTTTACACGAGAGATTACCCGTCGGCCGCGATGTGCACGGATGGGACCACGCGGGAGAGTGTCAATAAACGACGCTCTTACGTCGAGAATAGGCAAATCACGTCACGTAAAGTGCAAGTGCTTTCCGACGAAGCTTTAAAGACCCCGAAGATTACGCCAATATAACGAGCGACGCTCCTCTAGAGCCTTACAGTGAATCGCATGCGGCGGCGCTGAAACTTTCTTCCTTATCTTTCGGACTTCGGTCTTCCTTTTCCGCGGGAAACACACCTCTCGCTTATGCCTTCTGCCCCCTTTCGAACCGTTTTCCTTTCGAGAAAACTTTGCAACGCTCCCAACGACGTCCATTAGAAGTTGCGCGAGTTTAGTATAGCACTTAACAAGTAATATTGTTTCGGAAATGTTCGTGTCGCGAGACTCGAAAAACCTGTTAACGCGAGTCAAGTAATCTTACGAAACGAAAAAGTTCGATCACTCGCCAACTTGAAGAATATGTCGTGGATGAGCAGCGTGATAGAAGAATCGTATTGTCGTAATAGAGTGACGACAAAGATAGTTATAGAGATTGAACATTCGATTTTTAGGGTGCTTCTTTCTTCAGTTTTCTCCAAATTTATAGGTTTCATTTCGTTTTCACGTTTACAATCAGTAAATAAATTTTGTATTTAATTTCTACTATTCAGCACTTCGTACAGTAATATAATTTTTAATTTTTAGTGATTTAAATTGTAGGAGAGAATTGCCAAATGCGTACTGGTTGGCTAAATCGTACTTCAATATTTTATATTATTACTTAATATAGGCAACATTTAGTAACAATAATATATAATAAAATACATTAGAAATAAATAATGTAAAAAAAAATATAATAACTTATGTCTTGTTTTACTGACGTTAGCAGCTTTTTAAAAAATTAGGTACATTTGATATTAATTTTTAATTGACTTATGTAATTGATAACAACATGATTATCCAATTTTATTATAAATTTTTGTATTTTTATAAAAGAAGATTTATTGTAGAATATTTTACATTCACTGTATATGTATACATATCTGCAACTATTATAAAGATTAAATCGATATTTTTACAAAATCCATCAAGTTTCCTAAATCATATCATCACAAGATAAGACTGATAACTGACAATAATAAAACTAATAATTGATATCAATACAAACGTCACGTGCAAAAATATATTTCAGCTAATTTTGTTTTGACGTCATTTGTCTTTTTATTATTGTTGCTCTTAATAATTATAAAATATTTGATTTTCTTCAATAAATTATTAATATTAGGTATTAATCAAAATTTTTAGGCATTAGTTCATGATTTCTTTTATTAATCTTATACTTTCAATTATTTTCATTCATATAGATTCAATACTTTAAAAAAGAATACAATAAAAAATACCTACAGATACGATTAGGCGACCAATTGCCTAAATCGTACCTTTTACAGCACGTTACAAAAAGACTTATAGCAAATTAATTTGTCATTGATGAAAAGTTAACTGTAATAATAAGCATCCAAAACCTCAAGCTACAATTTCTAATGTTCACTTGCAAAAAACAGTGCCAACGGAAAATATAATAAAAAATAGGTTAAATGGTACGCACTAGGCAACTCTACATTTTGTGTTACAGATATATCAAGTGTATAGTCTCTACAAAAAGCGATTGGTACTGATATTTTACGTATAAAAATAATTATTTTATATGTATGAAATAGTTCAATAAGGTCAATATTTAACAATACATATTTAATAATACAGTTTATAGTTTGAATAAAAATTTTCTCATTTTTATCTTAATCATTTTTTAAAAACACGTATATTTCTTATTGGAATAATTTTTGATCCATGTTAGATCGTTGTCAAATGTTTTGTATTCAAATACAATATAGAAAAAATTTCAAATATACAATATAAAACATTCAAAATACAATATAGAAAAATTCACAATTTTTTAATTTTACTCAAAAATATTTTATTAAAAAATACATTCTTAATAATTGCTACATTATTCAGTTTTTATTTCAAGAGAATTATTTATTTTAAATATTTTTCTAATGAAAAAATAATTTCATTAAATATTAACATTTATATATGTGTTGTGCAAAATTTAAAAAGCAACTTTTTATAGCTGCAAAAATATTCTGACTTTTTCTTCTACTCTCTTAGTCGCGCATAAGAAGATAAGGTCATTCCGGATTATGACCCAGGAAAAAACGAGACCAGCTGCGTTCCAAATCCCTACTTCCGTGATAACCACGCGCTTTTTAACCCTTTGTCATCACATAAGAGCAGCGAAAATGGCAGCACTCCTCGACCGTCGTTGTTATACCGGCCAAATGAGTATTTTTACGAATTATGTTACTATAAAAGAAAATGTTCTACGTTGTAGACTTACAATGCCGCCGGCAACACTTGGCCATAACGAACATTGTGTTGTAGTCGTGGTTTGTGTCTGCAAGGGACGGCAACAGATGGAGAGTAATTTCGCTGGTCCTAATGAATTATTTCTGGCCAAACTATTAGTTAATGCGTAAAACGAAAGAACGACTTTTCGCGTTCGTTTTCTTGGTCTGAGTCCAGTTCAAAACACACACGTTTATTAAAAAAAAAAAAAAAATTATCATTTTAAAGGTATTACATTACAATCGAAGATCACGACTTGTATTATGATATCGGAGAACTTGCACGAGAGGTTTCGATAAGGAAGATAACAAGAAACTTTTGGAGGAAGTCTTGTTACCATATTGGAACTTGTTACTATTTCGATGGAGAACAAGTGCAAAAGAAAAAGGCAAAACTGTAGGGTAGGAATTGTAATACATATGTATAGCGTGAGAAAATTGTAGAGAAAGAAGAAAAATTCGAAACGGCAGCAATTGAAACGAATACAATCAACGTAATTAAGATCCAAATAGTTGAAAAATGATTTAATCATTCGACTTTTATTTCTTTATTATCCCGCTTTTGTCTTTTACCGAGGGCACGCCGAGACGAATTGCCGGACGACGACTGTTCAAAGATAGCGCGTAAGTACGCCGTAGATATGCCAAGGAGACGACGAAATTGCATCGTATTTCTACACAAAGTAGAATATATGTAGCCGAATGTATAGTGTAGTTGCGTCAGGACAGAACACGTCTGGCTACAAAGGGACGTATGCATCCGACAACAAAACCCAGGTGGAAGCACTGCAGAATTCATAAAACGATAGGGAAAACGCAAAGCGTTAGAATTTATCGATAATATGCCGATATACGACCGCTGAAATATTCCGACGTGTATTCGTAATGTATACCAGCTAGATCTTCGTTGTTCTTGAGATGCCGAGATGTACTCTTTTGTACATCATCAGCATTCTTTCCTCAAGAGACGGTTATCCGTCCTAGAAGAGGATGGGAGGGTAGAAGAGAGAGGGTCGGAGACTGTCCTCGGCAACATTTAAACGACGTCGAAACACGAGCTCGTCGTTTTCGCCCCATTTGCGTAGCTCTGTCACAGCAGTCTCGCGATTTCGTTAATTACGAAATTCTGCGCTTCAAACGAGCGTCGTGTCGTACCGAAACTTTCGACGAAGTTCCGTCCGTCAACTTTCGCACGTTCCGCACGGTTGCTCGTCTTGCTTAACACGCGTACACGCATAAGCGCGGCCCACCCCAAAGTTTTTCGTTTTTGCAAAGAAAATATTCGAAAACGAGCTAAAATGTCAGGTACACGAAAAGGACGGTTTTGCTGGAATATGTCAAAAAATATCTAAAATTTACCTAAATATATTAGATTTGAAAATAACTTTGTTATATTATATCAAAACAATTATATAGGTCATCCAAATCGATTGTCAAAATGTCCAAACTATTTGCAGCATTGCTCATGCTTGACATTTCAATGAAATTATTTTGACAAGTCAATAAAATTATATTTAGATGTGTATATAAAAAGTTAAATTTTTAGATACTTGAGCAAAATAATTCTTACCACGAACAGTTTGGCGAACGCGAATGTGTGTACGTGTATAAATAGGTGTGTAGGTGGATATGCAATGTGTGGATACGTAAAGGTGGCTTATTAATAGAAGACAATGAGAGGGTTGAGTCTCGACTTTCGAAGATAGACGGAAAAACACATACGATACAGTCATACACGTGTAGTAAAATTGGAAAAACGAAAGAGTTGAATAGAGAAAAGGCGGTGCGGAATAAGCGAGCAGAATTGTGTCGCTGTCGCGGCAAAAAATGGAAATTCCAGTCACATAAAATACGACATACGGGTATAAAGAACTTGGAGGACTTGAATTACAAAGCGAGATCCGTATATCCGACTGTTGCATGAAGTCGGAACATGGATGTAGCGAATCTGACAAACGCGTCTGAAGGGACCGTTGGAAGGTATCATTAATACATTTCAACGCGCGTTTTTCAGCCTAATAAAAGTAAATAGTAAAAAAATATATCTGCATTAATTACGATTTTCCATTCTATGTATATGTGGCATTAATAAGATATAGGACGCTCTCACACAATAAATTTGTATTGCAATTTCGCCATTCGAGATACACTCGCAATATATCGTAATCACAAATGCAGCATTTTATCTGTTTATTTATTTAGTCACAAATTGAATTGAACGATTCCAATCTTGCGAGAGACAATGCTGAAAGTATGGAATAACAATTGCTTTTTTTCCCTATACGTAACATATTTCTCTATAACATATATTTTTACTGATCCTACTTTTAACATTTATCCTCGTACAAAGTTTAGTAACAGTTTCTCGGTCGTCCTATATTTTACGTCCATTAAAAATTGTGCTTTTTCGCAACATATGTTTATTATAACGTTTAATGCGTCTCATATATAATAATAAGAACTTTATTCAGGATACCAACATTGTTTGCCAGCACGCCTGTTTACATTTAATTCCATTTCGACACGATACTCTGTAATCATGCTCGTGATAATCTCGAAGCTACCCACGCCGATATTAACTTCGTCTCTAAACGATATTTGCTCGTTTTATCGCGTTGCACGCGAAGCGTTGCGCACGGTGTGCATCTAGTAGAATCGGCAATCATGTCGAAGCATTACGCGGCTGCGTTATCGTCGTCCCGCGGCGTCACATTTACGCTCCTCGTTTCCTCCTCAATGCGTTTGCGTTCTTTGAGGCGATACAACAATATATACCGGACGCATATTGCTTGCCGCTCCGACGTCTCTTGCTCCTCGGCATCGCGCGACAGAGTCTGGCTTACAATTTATTAGATGTATAATTACCAGGCACGTATATATTCCCTATATGCTCTGAATTTATGTCGTCCTTAAGGATCAGTTCCAACGAAAATCACACACTTAATTAACACACGGGTTTAGATATTGAGATATAGTACTTTTTAAGAGAATATTTAATTGGCTATTTTTATACCAAATGTTTCTACATAAAAAATCTTTGTATTTAAATCAGATTGTTTCAGTTTGTTTTGTTACTTCTTCAATTCTTTGTGATAACACTTGAGTTGAATAAAGTAATACAATTTTGTGATATAATACTATATTTTGAAAAAGAATTATAAATAACTACTACTATTTGAATGGATTCAATGAGACCACTTGGATCTTATTTTTTTTTAATTAAAAGCATTATCACTTGAATACATATTACTTGATTTGAGTATAAGAAAATGCAATTGTTACAAAAATACGTATCATTTACGTTTTATTACATATAAAAATTAATAAAAATAGTACCACTTCCTCTTTTTAATTTTGAAATTTAACTTTAGTTTTTTCAGAATTATCTCGAATAAGATAATTTTTATAAAAATACGTATTACTTAGATTTTATCATATATAAATTAATAAATATAGTATCACTTGAGTTTTACGTTTTAATTTGGAATAATAAGTATTTTCGAGAAGCGCGTACTCTCAGCGCTTTTTTAAACCTTTTTTAAGTAAATTTGTTTTTAACTGTTTTTTATGCAATAATCAAATGTCAGAGACTGGGAATAAGGTAAAAAAACAAGTAAAATGATCAAAAAGAGAAAAAAATGCGGTTGGGGTGCAATATATAGATTTTTAATAATAAAACATTGCACGCAAGCCACAATAATACACGCAAAAACGCAAACGTTTCGATCATAGATTTTAGTTCTCTTCATTGTGAACAAAAACGCGAAGAGATCCTAATCAAGAACGATAATTGCGAACATTGGTATAATTTAATAAAATATTCGTGAAAGAGCAAATTAAATTAATCGGTCACTGTTGAAATATATTGATCCATACGTATAAATTATAGTCGCTGAAGTAAGACATTATACATATTAATTAAATCAAAGAATAGTGAGATTACAACGCCTAAAGTATTTTTTTATTCCGTAATATATTTGCGTATTTTTATATTTTTTATTTTCCCAACAATTTGTCAATCTTATTAAACTTAATGATAACTTCTCGGATAGAATTAATGTACATAATTAGCATTAATCTAGATTGACACAAACGACTGTAAGAAACAACAAAGATTTATATTTACAGCAAGGTAGTTGCTCGTTTATTCATATTTCAAGCTTGTAATAGCAATTGATCGACGGAACTTCACAACAAGCGACATTCATTCTTCCTCGATGCTGCAAACGGAAAGTTACTTTCAATGCGACTCGATTCGATCACCGCGAAAAGAAAATGCGCAACGAACGATGGTTTTTCCAGGTGAAGCCTGATTCGCCAGACTTGTTCGTTGAACAGCACGGGCTATACTCGACGATATCAAGTCTATTGCTCGAACTGGAGCCGGGTCATCTCGCCAGCGACAAGATAAACGTCAGGTAATTTCGGTGTTTACAACATACCGTATATTTCCGTCCGTTCGACAGAGCCGTTGCCTATGGCACCTCGGCGCATACTCCTCATAAATATACATCGCTTACTCGCGAGTAGGATAGCTCGTTTTACGCGAGTTTCGCGCGATGGAACGCGATAATTTATCCTTCCGTCTGACCGGCCACCAACGATCCGACTTAGAAGAATGATAGAATGTCTTGTTGCAGGTGCGAGGCGACGGTGCGATCGAGCCACGAAGTCGAGCCATTCGTCGATGTTCGCAACACCGAGGTCTTTGGTAAGCCCACGTGACACAATACGATCGATATAAATCGACAAACGAGTCGCGAGCGAAGTTCGAGATCACGTAGACGAAATAATAATGACATCGTAATTATAGACGCTCGAGCCTGAATCTGATTATTTCAATCAACCTTCAATTAAATAGATTAAACACGGAAACGAAAAGAAAAATTTGAAATTAACGTTTAATTAATGAATAATTTTTCTTCTTGTTAAACTCATTTTAGATGATACAATATAAGATAATATCAGAGATAGAATTGTATGTATTATAATGTGATATGCCGTAAACATATGATAATGCGTAAACGTAATAAACACTTACAGAATCAAAATTATATCCACCAAGTTAATATTTGTGTTCAAATTTTCTGCTTTATGTCCACGTATATACTATTTTACTAAACGGAAAGTGTATGCGACATACATGTAGTAAATGACTGACAAATTTAATAATCATAATTCAAAAATTTTAATTACATATATAATTTAATACAGCTACGTCTGAGAATAAATTATATGCTCCCGAAATATGAGAACAAAATTATTTACATTCACAGTATATCTTTATCAAATTACTGTACATAAATGCAGATAATTAAATAATAAACCATCAGAAAATGAGAAAATTCGAAAAAGAGAAAAGTGAGAAAACTAGTGCGAATAAAATTTAATATTCGCTTGTGTAACGTGATAATATTATATGTGTGACATATCATATTAGCACAGAAAATTTATGTTTGTATACATTCTTTATATATAATTTATTCTTTACATATAATTACTTTCATACATTTGAAACATTTAAATTACGAATAAAACTCCGTCCCGACGAGTCTATTTAAAACGGTCTTCTAATAATTATTCCTCACAAATTAATAACGGTTTTGCTAAAATAAAGTTTTAATCGGATTTTTCAACACTTCAACATAATCTTTTCGTGTAGAATATCACATCATAGAAATAAGGAATTCAAAATCACAATATTTAACACATTTCGTGCCAAGAGTAGTAACGGAGGTAAATGAAGCTATATTCCGACGAAGGATGTTTGTACTTGCAACAACTTTGGTTATCGATATACCGTATACATTTCTTTCGAGGTAACCACTCGAGGAAATGTACACGCTTTATTATTTCCTGGCATGCGAAATTAGCATGGGACCCGCGCGTTACGGCGGGGCCCAACTAATCGACCGACTCGGTTCCCGCGGGGAGCAAGGGTTGCGGAGAAATTAAGACAATAATTTACAACCGTTACCACCTGCCCTCGCAACACGCTCTCACCCAGCTGCACCTGCAGTTACTTTATCCTTACCTTCGCCCCGCCCCCACTGGATTTGCTCGCGACCGTGCGTTCGTTATCGTCTAATTTCTACTTAAATTAGTTTCGACCACTTTTTACTTTTCCTTGTTTACCTTCTTTTACCTTTGATATCCAGGGCAGCGTTATGAAACAATCGACTGGCATATTATACCTACATTTGTAATAAGGGTGAAATTACAGTGGTGCGAAAGCATCTCGTTTCCCCGGCATGAGGTGTCGCCGATAGGGAAAATCGGATGGGCGAACCGGGGATGAAAAGGTAGGGGTGAATACGTGATTCATCAGATCGTACACAGTCGCGTGTGTTTGTATGCATTCCCGTTTCCGACCAACAACGCTCCCGGCAACGCTCGGTGTGCAACGGTGATTAAATATTTATCAACTAATCCCTCGCGTCACGCAATTCGAGTTACGATAAGAAATTCACGATTTGCGCGCGGCGTTACAGCGCGCAAATACGCGCGCACACGTTCGCGGACACCGGACGTATGCCGATATACATATATCACGAGAGTTTTACCGCAATAGTATTTTTCGGCTCGCCCGATGGACCATAAATCGACTTTCCGCGAGAGCACTCGTTTACACGCGACGCGGCGGCAATATTTCGTAGAGATGTAAGCAGACTATTTTTCGTGGGAACGCGCAGACACTCGCAGTTGACTAGTCGTTGAAATCGCAATAGTAACATCCGAGAGAGAGAGAGAGAGAGAGAGAGGTGCACGCGGATCATTCTACGCCTGCAGCGTTGCGCTCTCGATTCGGGTCAATTTTAACCAGAATGAGCCGCCGCAGCCGATCAGCCAGCGATTCACACTGTTTCGAACGCATATCTCTCTTTTATTAGGGCCACAAAGGTAATCAACGATTTACCACATTTGTATATATACGATTGTATTTGCCGAACAAAAAATACGTGGAAAAATATACGGACAGTGGAACACCTGCCGCGGATATATTTTTTGTTTTGTAATTTAGCGGGTGTTGTTGCGTGTCGCGCTCTCTATTTTTGTAAATTATAGCCGCTGGAATATCGGCGTTAAGATATCGGAAACGGTTACGGGTGACACAAATTGAACAGCGTATTGTTTTAAAAAGTAATCGATAATTTATCGCATCGCGATGCAATTGGTCAGCGATAAAGAAGATAGTACATCGAAAAATACGCTTCTTTCAATAAAGATAAAGAAATAGTACACATGAGAGATGCATAAGCTATTTCGCGTATATTACACGGAAAAACCCATTTTGTTAAAGTATTTAAAAATTTCTCCAGATACAGATCTGAAAATAATTTCGTGAAAGTAAACTATCAAAATATTATATAAACTGTTAAATGTTAAAGATTTAAATTAATTTCTTAAGTTAAACAATATTTGGTTATTTTTAACTTCTACGTGTGTAAAAGGGTATATAATTTTATTACAAAACGTGTGGTTAGAAAAATTTAATCAACCTGTTTCTGTTAAATTGCTCCGTTTCAACGAAAGTGTTCATTAACGTATATATTCACTTAGTAAATACTAAATTAAATTTGAATTAAATTTGCTACACTTCTTGAATAAATTGTTTAACTCCAATTCAGTTAAATTAACAATATATTGAGAAGCAGTGGTGACCTGTAGAAATAATTAAAAATTATTCAAATTGGATATAATTTGACATTTTGAATTTAACAGTGTAAAAACGCTTAAACATAAAAAGCAATGCTCCAATCAATTTTAGCAATCAGCTTGAGCGTCCTGTATAATATTTTGATAGTACAATAAAATTATTTTCATACCTGTGTTCTAAATTTATAGATACTTTAACAAAACTGTTTTTTTTTTGTTTATGTGCGCCAGAGTGGTGAAATTTTTTCCAACAATACGAGCAGTAATTGCATTCCGATAAGAAAGTAAACGTTTTCGATTGTACGACGATATTTTTGAGAATGCATCGCGAGGCCGTGACGACCGTAACGACTCATGCATTACGAATGCGCAATGAGAATGATCAAATGTGCGTTAGCTGCATGCCGTCGCGTCACGCCGCGCAATACAAATCCCGCGGGCGGGCGGAAGGAATTACAATGCATATAATACGCGGCATTTGACTAGCTCCGCGTATAACTATGCTATTGTAAATCGACAAACATTTCGGCGCATACAAACGCGGCCTAGTTATCGGGCATATTTTGCCGTCGTGCCGCGTTGGTAATGCGTCTGGAAATATTCGAGTCATAAGTCGGGCCAATTCCCACATTGTTGTTTAACGCGAGACACGTTCCGCGCAAAATTCCTATGGAAATGATATAACTTTGATCTGTTTAATTTTGCGAAATTGGAAGATCGATGGGCGTAGGAGTGAAGTTTTCGCGAGCTTGAAGAAAAAAATGAAAATATCCGTTCTGCAAATCTATGAATTATTCATGTATTTAATTACATAAATAATAGCGATCGATGATAATCTTTATAACATTGTCGTAATCATATATCTGTTATTTACCGCCAACATTACCGAGAATGCCTATTAACGAAACACGAAGAGGAGACACGTGCTTTTATCGTCGCTGTGGATACCCCAAAGGTACTCGGCCTAATTGCATAAGTGGGCCTCCGAATATCGACCGGACGAGTCGAGCGTTGCACAACACGGGGTAAAAGGGTAAAAGAAATAAACGCGAAGGAGCAACGCGGGGGGAGAATCCTCCACGCGAGAATAAGAGGGAAAGAGGATGAGCAAGAGGGAGAGAGAGCCGATCGACGAAGTCAGGTCGAACAACGCAAGGTAGGAAGGAGAGGACAGGTAAAAAGAGGCAAGGCAAACCGGAAAAGACGTCGAACGACTCGAAGAAATTGCTCTTAACGATCTTCGATTTTCTCGTTAGACGGAATCGTTCTTGGAAGCGCTCTACGCGACGGCCAGCGTCGCTACGCCTCCTGCATTTACCGCCGAGCTGGCTACCTATAGCTCGAACCTCCGCCAACTATCAGTTTTCTTTCTATCAGTGGCCACCTTTCGTCTCGCCCGTGTCACTCCTCCTACCTCATCCTCTCATCTCCTTCTTCGCACAACCTCTCAAATTATCCTTCTGCATCCCCTTTTCCTTATTACTCCTTTAACCCAGTCTCGCGGCTTAACTCGGTCGCGACGCCGTCGATCCTACCAAAAGGCATCCCGTTCGGCCGGCTTTAATCCATTTTAATCGCGGACGGGATGAGTTAATTTTAAAATGTCCTCGTAATTTTACTCCTGCATATTTTGTTATGTAATTATATATTTGTACTCTGTCGAGTAGAATTAAACCGCGAACATTTATTATGCGCAAAACCCCGCGCATAAATATATCTGTCGTTACTAATTTACGATAAAACGTATGGATAAACTGTCACGAAATATAATTTATTTAAAAAGTTAAAATATTTTGTAGTAACGTAAATATTTAAACAATTTTATATATATATATATATATTCTTATATTTTTAAATTATTATAAAAACTGAAACTGAAATGATGAATTTAATGTTATACCTTATTGTCGAAAGTTATGTTGTATTAATAATTTGGTATAAAAAGCGATAAGAAATGGAATGCTACGATAAGGAGCAAAAATTGAAGAGACAAGGAGAAAAATTTTAGAATATGAACACATTTATACTGTTAAATTTAATATCAAAATGTACTAAATTTTAAATTAATTTTAATCATTTCGTAGATGATATCTGCTTTTACTCAATATGTCGTTAATTTAATTAAAACACTAAAATTAAATAATTTTACCAAGACAATGTAATTAAATTTAGTTCGAATTTAGTTTATTATTTACTGAGTGCATACGTTGATATAGACATGTTTACTTTGAAGCTATAGAAATGGATTGATTCACATTTTGACACATATATGGAAGTTGAAAATAACAAAATGTTATTTATCAAGGGATTCAGTTGCTATTGCTCCTTTGATATTTAATGGTAGATTTTATCATTTCTTTTGCAAAAATCACAGGGAAGATAATCTGTGACAGATCAACAATTTCGATATACAGATGGTATCGAACCCTTGAACCTCGAATTTCTCTTCTCTTTTGGTGCGTTGCCTCCGTATAGAAAGCTGAAAGACCGTACGCGCAAAAAAAAAAACTTTATCCCTCACAAATAATAACCGAAACGCAGCGACAATAGCTCTGGCTGGGTTATGTTGTACTGACGGCTGATATTGTATTTCTCTTTATATTTCCGGAATGAGTTGAATGCCGTTTCTTTCGAAGTGCGGATAGAAATACCGCACACATTCATTCGTTCGTGGTAAAAAAAAAAAGGGAAAAGAACGTGGAATAAATCTGAAAACTGTATCGAATAGACGATTTTCAGTAGCTCAATAGGGCCTCCGAGTTATGTCATATGAATGACTCGTATTGTCTGCCTGTTTACGTTGCCTGAATAGCGGCCACATTGTTTCGCTTCGCACGCGATGTATGACGGTCAAGTTGTCACACGGTTGTGATTCCCACATTTTCTACGTACACGGAAACGTAACGCGGACTCTCATTCGGTTTTATCGCGGTCGAACAATTTCTCATCTCGACAAAATTATTGAATTATTTCATAAAACTTTTAGTAATTTATTATTGTGCGAAAAAAAATATGTCGGATTATTATTATTCATTTCAATAAATCAGCCTCAAATATGGTCTAGATAATATTCTATATCAATTTGTATGAATGCAGGATGTTTATTGCGTTAAAAAAATTGTTTACGTGGCACATATTTATGATTCATCATATATACGCAGCATATTGATTTTTTTATACCGTTCCGGCTAAATTTTGTTATTTCACGTTTTGCGCCTGTTTTAGCATAGTTGAAATAGAATAAGAACACAACTAGAATGGGGAAACTGTCAGCGTTAAGGATGCGTAGTAGCGAGTACAAGAATAAGGACGCCGTTTGCGAAGTCGTTTATCTCGTTACGAAATGTATCCGAAAGTTACACACGTTTCAGCTAAACTACTATTCCTCCAAAGAAAACTAGCTTTCGAGTTATCTCAAAGCATTCGTGCGTGACGAAGGTAATGATACCAATTCTAAGCTCTTATCTGTCTTTTGTCTAACAATTTTTTTTTTAATCCGTAACTGTCATTGTAGATATTGTAAATAGATTAGATATGCACGCGAATCTCCAAATTCAGATTTTTCTTTTTGAAATATGTGTAGGATGAGAGGTGATACAATTTTGAACATGGTACAATTCTGAACGAAATAAGATTTGAATCCACTTTTAGAGATGTAAGTTTGGTTTTGTCTTGTTTGGTGGCACTCTTTAGTACTCTCCTCACAATAAGATTAGAGTTATCAAACTTAAATCTTGAAATTGGATTTAGATCTTATTTCGTTCAGAATTATATCTTATTCGAAATTATACTATCTTAACTCTATATTGAAGCTTTATAATTATTCAATTAATACCTTCCTAACTTGGCTACACTCACATATACACACTTTAGGCATCAAAGGAGCAACAGTGACCTTTGAGCTAAATAATATTTTACTTCTATGTAGATCAAAATCTAAATCAATCCATTTCTGGTTTCAAAGTAAACAACGTCAATATTAATGTATACACTTAGTAAATAATAAATTAAATTTGGGTCAAATTTAATACATCTTCTTTGAGTTAAATTATTGATCTTCTTGTTTTGTTGGTCGAATTAATGGCATATTGGATAGGAACAGTTGCGACCTATAGAACTGATTGAAAATAATTTAAATTGGATATAATTTAGCATTATGAATTTAAGTACATATACAGTATACACATACACATATGTAAAGGAACATAGAATCTGTATCTCCAGGAATTATATAACATTCTATATTTCGCACTGCTTCTGATATAAAAATAAACCGATTTTCCAACAAAAGTTTGCGATTCAATCATAATTTTTGTTGTTATTGGCTGCGTTTAGTAGAACATTTATTTTGCAACTGTTGGAAGTTTTCTCCTTGCTGATTGGATTATACTTTTAGATCTAAAAGAATGGTCTTATCTCAACAGACAATCATAAAACGGGTGCAAAACTGTTGTGCTCTGCTGAACATAGCCATCGATCTATTTTTATGGCAAAAGCAACGTAAAATAAAATTGTTACGTAATGCTTGAAGTTATATGTAGATTCTATATTTCTGGATATTTCTTTCTTTATTGATATCATTTAATAATGATATATTAAGGAAATTCACGTGGGTGAAATTTTCTTATTTTACATTAAAACGTAATCTTCGCTTACCGTATCTGTAATTCGAATAATTGAATGTCATAATTATTAAACTGTCACTCATATTAAAGTCATAATCTTTCTTGCTCGAGACGGAAATTCAATTGTCACTAGAATAAACTGACATGCGTATGCGGTGATATAGCAAATAATTTGTGATAATTCTCTCATTAAAGAGAAATTACCAGAGAATTCTAGCGGCTCAAACATCTAATTAATTCGTCATATTTCAACTGTCTGTCTATAAAAATAGACGAACCGAAAAAATTTGCGCTAATAATTTTTCATTCCTTCGTGTTTCAGTTCAAGGTCTCGCAACCCTGACGACACCGTCGCTGTGTCTTTTGGTAGCTGCAGTATTACAACGATTTCTGCTGCCTGTGTAGAATCTTCCAGCGCGACGAGGGCACCAAGCTGACTAACGTGAGAGAATAATGGGAAAGCGGATCACGGAGGAACCGGAAGGCGAAGAATGACCAACGTTTCGTGACGAAAGACAATCATATCTTAATACGAAGCGAACTGCGACGAGAAATCGCGAGGGATTCGCGTCAGACTTGCCGATCGTTATCGCAACGGCGAACAGCCACGCGTCCTTGCGATTTTTGCACGTCGCTGCGCCTTCTCGTTAGACCGAAGGAAAATAAGCATTGATCCGCTCGTCGTTACTCTCGAGAGTACACATTCCCCCATCTTCCCGACACGCATAAAATCCTAGATAGTCTAATTAACTACGGAAGAAAATACGCGATAACCAAGTGGGCATCCACAAAGTTCTCGCACGTGCTACTCCTTGACGCTCGTCTATTCCGTTAGGATCGATATCTGCGTCGTTATTCGTGAAATAGATTCAAATCGGCCGCACTCAGGGGTTCAAACTTTCGATAACGAGAAGGAACTTTTCGAACTTTCCACCTTAACGATATAAGTTGGAAAATGAACTGATTCTATAGCCGCGTAAAATAAAATTTGAATAAAATTTCATTAACAAATTATTATGGATTTAGCAGAAACTGCAAATTGGACTGTCACTTGATACTATTACATAAAATGAAACATTGATTTCTTACTTTCTTCGGAAGTTCGAACCCCGCGTGAATCTTCATTTTTTGTTAATAGTTCTCAAAGAAGTACAATCAATCGGAATCATGGATGAGAAATGAGATTTTATGCTGACAAAGGGAAGAAAAGTAAGTAATTCAATACTTATCAGATCAATACGTATCGGATAACACTCGCGAGTTAATTAAGAATTTTAAGTCTACACCGAGAAAACTTAATGAGCTAAAAATACATCCAGTGGTTCCGATAACGGCATATATCGATTCCCTCAAACAATTTTCGTTACAATGTGAGACTTTTGACATTTGCAATATTTTTCCGTTGAAATAATAAGCATGCAAATCTCGCGTTTTGTATTTTCGTTCTTTTGCTTATGTTTGAATCATAAAAATGGTTCAAAAATATATAATCTGAATAAAGGAACAGAAATGATGATGTATACGGAAAAAATATCTCGGGGAAGTAGCTTTAAAAAAACGATACATAATTTTCTGAACGTGATATATTGCAAGTTTTTAATTTGCAAATCTTCCCGTGATATAATGTTACGAAAATTTTGCAACCAGGAGAAATCAATTTAAAAGCGTCGAGAACGTTGTACCTCAGGGTTCGGAAACCTTCTCAGCGTGATACCCGTTGTCAGTGATAACGGGCGCAGCAGTTGTCGAGATGCAATCGTTATCGATTGTATACGTGCCGCGGTCGAGTGTAAATATATACAACAACAAGGTAGGCACACATTTTCATCGAGCCCCGTCATAAGCTTCCTTCATTCTAATTATAACTTTTTAATTGATACGTGTAATTAAAATAATAAGCCAAGAAGAAATGGATCTCCGATTGCACAATCACCCTCCCTTTTTGCTGCAAAATACTTTATCACATCGAAAAACCCACTAAATGAATAAATGCAAAAAGAAAAAAAAAGAATCTCTCTGGGGTAAACAGTAATCCAGAAGTGCATTTATTATCATAGAAAAGAATATCGTTAGAAAATCTTGAAAGAATATTTATTCATCGTTATATTATAGATGATGCTTGCTTCATCAGTTTTTTTGTCGTTATCGTTTTATATGTCCACAAGTCATCCGAGAATTATTAAAATTCATATTATATTTAAAATCGAAAACGTGATAAACACCGTAGTTCGTAGTTGATCGAATTGGAAAAAAAAACAAAATGAAATTGAAAAAGTATTCACATTTCAACTGAATGTTTTATCTAAAAATATTTTGGAAAAAAACATTTAATTAGTTTGTATTTAACTTTTACGAAAAGACAAAACAAAGTGTTTACTCGAACACTATACGATAATTTATTTATAAATTTGTGGCAGTTGGTTAATCGGATTACAGATAACATCAGTGAACGTAAATTCGTGAATCGGCAAATAAAAAGTCATAGTCTTGTAAAAAAAAATTAAGGAGTCCATTGGCTTGCTGTTTGCTCTAGGCGTTCCAACACCTGCGAGATTGTACAAGCGCATAAAATGCGTAACGAACATCAGCGCTGCAGTATGCGCGAGAAGTGTTTATTTTTTTTTTATCGCGTAAACACACACATGTATATAAACATATATGCACGAACGGTAGCAGCCGCCATCAACGATCGCGAGCGATCGGAAAATATGATTCATATGCGTAAGCCGATTAATTTACAAAGTTCAACGTACACACGGCTGACGTAGATATTTATACAGGACTCTCCGCGGAAATGCGTTATTTTTTCACCCGAGATTAATAGTTGTTATATTTCCGCGTCCCGCTGTGTTTTCGCGTGTCTCGCTGGTACAGTTGTGCGTCGTCGCGATCGACAGGTCGACGTAAATAAATAAATGTTCACATAATAAATATAATAACTAGAATTTTCGAAGTACAGGGGCGTAAAAAATCCATTACGTATCCGCAGGATATCGAGGTATCAACGAAATGGATTCATACATCCAAAACTACAACGTTCGTCTTAACGAGAATATTAAACGAGAGAATATTCACAGACTATACGATTAAGATACCGTTCATTAAGATTTAGTTAACGCTTCCAAGAGGACAACTCGATAAAATATTCAATTCGAATTCCGAGTTTTACGAGCGATATCGGTCTTTGCCTTCATCGCGAATACAATCATCTTCCATAATCCACAGAAAAGCCGTTCGTAACTGTACGCGAAACGATATCTACATAATAGCTATTGAACGCATTTTCGCGTGTGATTTGCGTCGTTTGCCTTATTACCGTGATTCTCAGTTATTCAAATTCCCAGCTTGCATGGAGAATTTCATAACAACGTGTGATACGTTACTGGTGATGAAGCATATTGAAATGTTATATACACGCGTTCGGAAACAACATTATTGTTTTCTTTGTTCCGCTTTTCCTCGGCGCGCATATCGGCAACATGCAACAAACACGACCGTTAAGCTCTTCCAGTTCCATGCTTTCTGTCTCGAAATCGATAACTTCCTAGGTATAACAGCAGCAGCAAGATCTCTCGCGGCCATGGGACTGTTTGCAGGATGCGCTGCGTTTACACGGAGCCGCGTGAAGCTGTAATAAAGAGGGACGGGAATATGCGAGTCTCCGTTTATAGCAATTTCGTGCTCAGTATTGTGCTCGGTTTGTTTACGAACGAATCGAGCGCAAGCAGAACGCGTTTCGGCGTATAAATACAATTTGCGGGATGAAAAAGAATTGTTGTACATACGATTTTTAACGAGTTGTAGCGCGCGTGTGGAAGGCTCTGCACGATCGGGATGTCTCTTTGGCATGCAAAAGACCCGTCGGAACTTTAAGGTGGGAGGTGAAGTTTCGAGTTGAGAATTTGTCATTAATTCTCAGCAGCGTGCTGCGTCACGGCTTAAGAAGGTAATACGTCATCGCGACAGGACGAAGGTACATATACCGTTTTAATTACGTATATGTATAATAGTGCAATTCAATATTCATTTAGTCCAATTTCTTTTTTCATGCGGTTTGTATTGTAATTACTGTCAGATATGTGTTGGCACAAATAGATAACTATTTTCCGATATGTTGTGTGGATAAACTTTGATATCCACATAACATATAGATAATGTAAAAAGTACAAAATCTTTACAATGTAAATCGATAATACTGATTAAAAATTGAAAACAGAGCGCAGAGAACATGTATGTGTACGAACCAAAATAAATACTCAAAAGTCTAAATGATCGCTCTGACGTTCAGATTTTAATTCGTATTTCAGTAAAATTTTTATAAAATTATTATTATCTTGTACGTTTATCAGAGAAAGGTTTTTTTAAATAATAAATACAGCCAGACGTTTTAATACCTCATTTGATAGAGAAATCTCGCTGCAGATAACGATGCGTAAATTCTGCGTTACATTCACCGTCGTTATTTTCGATCTCTGATTATTATACTTTGTTATATAGTTAATTAACTTCGTCGACACGGTTAAACGCACTCGATGTACAAAAACTGTACCTAGCTGATACGTCTTTTCTGATTACAACAGGAGAACGCGAGGCACTTTATATTTACATATTCCAGCAAGCTTTAGCTTTTCGTTTGCTTTGAAGTGGAACGGCAGTATGTTTTGCGTCTTATCGGGGACATATCTCCGATATTTACGGTGGCGTAAAGGCGAGCAAAGAATTGTACATACCCTTGTATATAACTGCGCTGTAATGTATAATAGTAAAGAATTACTCTCGAAAGGAGGACTGAAGGACTTCGGAAGTCTCGTGTGTGATTAAACGAACGCGGGGATGTCAATCTCGCGTCCGATAGGAAGATAACAGATATTTAGCCATATTGTGAAAGTGTTCAAATGGCGCGTCCCAATTATCGCGGGACATCGCCAGTACAGATAAAGAATATACGCGAGAGAACGCGTGAAAACGCGCCCGTATCTTCGCTCGCGAAGCGAGATGTGAAGTTATTAGAAGAAAAAAATAAAGACGATGTACTCGGTGTTAGCTTTCAGTTGTAACGAGCTTCTGAATACACACACATACACACACACATACACATAATACAGAATAAAAACGCCGATGCGGAAATAAATATATGTACCTCTGTACACACACTTGTGTTTTTAAAGCGGTAAACGCACGAGAGGCTCTTCGCCGTCGCGACGACGAAGAATCGAGCTTGAGCGTTCCGTTCATTGAAAATCAGGAGCATACGAGAAAGATTACGTTCTTATATGTATGGCCTAATGTATATATCTCGCGAATTTAGTAATAAATCATATTTCATTATACCTGCCTCTTTTATTACCCCAAAAGCCCAAAGTTGATATCGGAAAGGGACAAAGCGTGTAATATTGATTATTGCTAAGGTGTGATGATATATATTCTTTCTTTATACTTTCAGATCATCGCGCGAAAGATGAGATTAGTCCAAATCAAGATTAAAAACGCTCGGTCTTTCGTTACGAGGACAGTTTAAGCCGCGGATTAATATATAAAGTCGTTAATTATTATTTATTCCGCCAATAAACATGACACGAAAGGGCTGATGTTGACGCATATATGCATGAAACTAATATTATTTTCCCCTCGCTGACTCCACTTTGTGAAACGATTCTGCCGAGAAAAACAACTCGTATTCGCGGATCGTTTGAGAACCGATGGAGAATAAACGCGTCAGGAAATCGCGATTCTTCGTGTTCGGGGATAATAGTTGGACGCAGACGGGAGAATAAGAAAGAGAGAAAGATGCACGGGATGA